CAGTCCTCCCAATGCTATCCGTCCGACCGGTGCTATCCCTTTTTCCGCTCGACCTGTCCTCCAGATATCGCTCGATAGTCAGCCCCTATGCTGACAAAGGGTCTCCAGCCGTGCGATGCTGTCGGCGCCCCCGCACGTGAATCGTGTCCCAGTCGACCCTTGTCGACCACCGTGTAGGTGTTGACCTCCCGGTGCCACCCCTGGCGCCCGGTTATGAGTGGACCACCTGTCCACTGACTGTCGACACTCTTGTCGACCGCACAAACACCAACACTAAACCACTGGATCCACGACCACCACAATCGCACCAAACAATCGCACAAATCCACGAAATTAAATTAATTTACAATTAATCTAATTTACAATTAATTTATTGTATATAAGTATTTAATAAAATAAACTTCAAATAAAAGATTACATTAAGGTTCGGTAAGTGTATATAAACTTAGAGAAAATGACACAAAATATATAGAAAAACTACTCCCTTATATAATAAAATCACTGCTATTTATACCACAATTACTGTCAAAACTAACTCTAATGTTTAATATATTCAAATACATAAAAATACCAAATTGAGTAAAACTGTGGGCTAAAACAAATAGAAACTGTCCTTTGAAATGATAACTACTTTTGGGCGACTATTACTATTTAATTTAGGTGATAGTTATCTGTCACTGGGCGTTGGATTCTCTCTCTCTCTCTCTCTCTCTCTCTATCTCTCTCTCTCTCTTTCGTATGTTATTTGTCTCAAATTGTGTCCACTATTTTTTCATAATACAGTTCACAAAACAATACAGGATTGAAAATTCACAAAACAATAAACAGAGAGGGATGTATAGTTAAGTTAATAATTCACATTAGTTAATTTACAATAATATTTAAGTAAATATGATTGTCCAGGATTCCTCCTTTTTCCCCTTTTTTCTACCTTTACATTAAACTATTGGATCACTTTTTGACTCATTTTCACAAAATTAGATTATAGATCAAAAGTTTTCATTCTAAATATAACATAAATTACTGTAAATATATTTTAAAATATTAATCACACTCAATTATAATTATGGTAAAATATAAGCAATTCAATATTAACTACAAAGTAATTCTCAAACTAAAATATTCTATTAATTAGTGATTAAATATTTATAAAAAAAACATTCTTATTTAAAACTAGATTCAAAAACTACTTAATAAAACGACTAAATATATATGATAATTGTTACAAATTGAAAAGTAAAATTATTCAGGCTAAATACTCTAAAATACTTTTAAATATTAAAATAGCAGTTAAAATTGGTTAATAAATGTTGAATTAGCTGTTTATTGGCACTCACTCCCGGAAAGCGAATCGTTTCTTATTTTCCGGTTCGGGTGATGAGGGGACAACCCCGTCGGTCACCTGCTGGCGGTCTGTATCCACTATTTCAATTGAGACCCCTTTTACATATGTGGCCATTGAGTTGTCGGTTGGTTTGATACGTGCCGCGGTGTGTATGGTAGGCCAACGATACTAACGAGGTTATTAATATTAACAGCATTTTGACTAGGGTCACATACATATGTGCGATACCAAAACAAACCACCACAGTTAACTGAGCTATAGGGCTATAACAGCCAACATGTCCTCTCGTACGTCCAACACATGTTGTGGTATTAACTGAAAGTTTATCCGGTGAGACAATACTGGTTTATAATTCAAATCATTCTGAACGTTAATCTGCTTATGGTTGTACACAAGTATTATGTCAAGTGTTTTGTTATGTCCTAACTTTTAAGTGTTTTGTTATTTGTCTCTCCCTACATATCAATTCAATTATTAAGTGTAATCAATTAAATGTTATTATAAATTCATTTATACTAACAGTATTTAATTTACATTATTGAACGTTGATTACAATATATTACATTCGTTGCAAACAATTGGAAAAAAAATAACTAAAACGACTCAATCATACAAACACTAAATTAAATATTCATGAATTAATTTACGGTAATAAGTAATTATATTAAAGATTGTCTCAAATGATATTCAAAATTACAGTCGGGTTTCACTAATTCTCTCACAAATATTTTTTTGGTCAAACTTAATCAGAATTTTAATTCAGGTTAATAAGTGATAGAGTTTCAAATCTAATCACTTATAGCTAAAAGCTATCATTTTTTATTTGATTTTTAATTGAAGAATATTTGATACATTGATTTTGTGCCACCGTTTCCATCAGTTCCTGCAGTTTTGCGGAAACTCTCACTTATATTCACACGTTTTCATAAAACAAAAATATAATACTCAGTGAAAAAACAAATAAAATCAAATTTCATTCCCTTTAGGGTCCAGTATTTTGTCAAATAAAATAAAAACATTTACCGTTTAGTCCATTAATGTATTTCATTCATGTTTTATTAGCTATTTAAATCTATTCATTGTATGTGATTAAACATGAATTATATTATGAGAAAAATTACTTCTCAAAGAATTTTAACTTAATATTATGAAAATATGATAAAGGTGCACTACACGATTATAATTACATGTATATAGAGTACAAGATATACATTTTAATATAAAATGTGTTAGAGATTTGAAAAGTATCTATTTTGAATAAAGATCATAATTGTTTAAGGAATTGCACACTTATTTTATTAGTTATTATTAAACATGAAAAATAAAATATTTAATGTATTAATAATTAATTAATCATAAAATATTTTTGCTATAAGAATTTATTGAAATTTCATTACGGATACTTAATTATATATTAGTTTAAATAGTAAAAGCAATTTATTTTGAATATTAAAGAAAAATTAATGTACTGTAGGTTTGGATAGGAATCACAGAATTGACTTTTTTAAATAGCAAAAAAATCATTTCAAAATTATATATAACCATTAAATCAAACGGAAAACGAATAACATTATACGTTGTTAATAACCGTAGCAGATAACCATAATGTGTTTAGCCTGGTATATTTGGCAATTACTAATTAGCTCACGTATGCACTCAAAGTAGTAGTTTCTGTGCCGACTCTAATTTAGATATTTCTTTCGTATAACGGAACTAATGATGAGTCAATTAATACAGTATTTCTCAATTTTCTGTTACAAAAAAGGGAACACAGATACAGTATAATTAATCAAATAATTATATACTGTACATCAATAATTATTATTTTATAGTTATATTAAAAATTTTACTAATAAAATATAATAATTTAAATGTGAAACAATGAAATACAACTGTGATATTGCTTGATAGACTATTAAATACTGTTTAGTAACTTATGTAAAAAATTATATAACTTATAAGTCTATGAATTCAATTCCTAATATATTAAGAATTTTAAAATATTTATTTTATTAGTACATTTACTTTATTTGTATTTTTTTATTTACAAAATCAGATCAAATCCTCTCTCTCTGTCTCTCTCTCTCTCTCTCTCTCTCTCTCTCCTCTATGACCCCATCTCAAGAGATCGACAATAATTACTGATATCACGTCCAGAGGATAGTTGGGACTTGTCATTAATAGTGATGATAACATGGATTACGTTTGCTATATGATTTTGACTTAATTATTATATTTGTTTTTAAAAATATTAAGTTTTTTAAGTACAATTGAAACTTTAATTTTATTTTTAAATAAGATAATTTACAAAATATTTGCACAATTTTCATAAGATTTCCTCTTCATCTTAAAGCAAAAGATAATATTTAAATATTTAAAACAAATGAACCAAATTGTTTATATTTTAAAAATCTTCATAAAAATTTTAAAAATTAATAGTATATATTAAATAATTCTCAACTGATTCATAAATACTATTTAAATATTTTAGTTAAATGTTTATAAATTAATTTTAATTAAATAATAATAATTTGAAGTCAAATATAAGGGGATAATGTGACTGATTAAGTGGAAAAGCATAAAGTTTGGTATTAAATACCTCCCATAATGTATGGAAAATAGGGTTACTATTTGTTTATAAAGGATGGCATAAAAAATTATAAGATTAATCCCCGAATACATGGTTCACACGAGTGCTGGCTTTATATATTTGAGGAGCACTTATAGAAAATGCGAGTCAATACGAATACAAATTAAAAAGTTTTTTAGTCCACAATTTGGGTTGACTTACAAGTTGTTCACCAAAAGACGATTTCTGTAAAATTGGTGTCTTTTAAGTAAACACCGGTTGATATGAGAGGGAAGATATAAGCGAGAGATAAAAGCACAACTTTTTATGTTTGGGTGAGTTTTAAAATAAACCTTTTAATCAATGATTAGTGTTTAATGAGAAGTGATTTGTTCCACTTTTCCGCCGCTTTATTCATGTATTAATAATATGATTGACAAATGAAAGTGTAATGAAGGTTTCATTCAAATACGGGTTTCAATCAAATTTGTGAATTAAATTAGAAATGTTTGCTTTTAATAGAGAGTTCTGAAGATATGATAATTTATGAATTTATGAATGTTTATGAACTTTATAAAGACTCAATCAAAAACTGAAACTGAAATGAATATAAAGTGAATGCATAAGTATTGCAAATCTTCAAATAGAAATAATTATGAAAGTAATGAGATGTAATAAAACTTAAAATTACTTTTCGTTTGATTGAATCGTTTGATTTGCACTTAAATTCTAATACAATAATACAAATAGAAACAAATGCAAAAACTTGAATATTTATAATTATAAATCCTTTAAACAATATCTCATGTATTACTTCAACTCACTATACTTAAGACAAATATTGGCAAACATTACTGTTCTTATAATTTAAAACTTATTTTTGTATTTTATAATAATTTAATATTTATTTTTCAAAAGGACATGAATATTATACAGAAAGTTATATGCTTAAAAATAATATGATGTAAACTATTTAAACAATTATTAATATTAATACTAGAATATTAAGATTCATTTATACAATAAATAGATTTAATGAATATACAGATATGAGAATAAAATAATAAGTAGTTATACAGTACTAAGTTAGTAATCAACGATATCGTCGACTGTATAGATTTTTCTCTGAATTTTCTTGTCATTCAAATACGATGTCTCTGTGTTTGCAGATCTGCCCCAACTCTGCAACTCTGCCGAAGCGAACAATATGTACACCAATGATGTGAACACATATACGGCCGCAGATATGTAGAAGACATACGACCAGTTGTGGAGAGTGTGCTATACATACGGACAGACAGACAGACATTGCATTCATTACATACAATACACTGGTATTCATATTATGGTGAATGTGGTGGCAATACATACCCCGTCGTCATAGAAGGCGGCGGCAACTAATGGGGCGACAAATCCGGGAATATTTCCGATACTGTTTGTGATACCCATGAGAGTACCCGCGTAATCGGGTGCCATGTCTACATGAGTTGAATTAAATCCAGGATAATTGCACCCATTGAGACCCATTCCCAGTATGAACAATGCGATGCTCAACGTAGTGTTACAGCGGGCCAGTACGACCCCACATAAACATATGGCCGGCCCTATGAATGCTGTTATGACAATGAAAAAGTTATAATAATTACAACATTTGAATACTGTATAAAAATTCAAACCAATTGTGTTATTAGTTTTGCGAATAACATTGATTCCAATGATCTCTCTTTGTCGGACTTTATCGCTAATAAAGGATGCGATCCATGCAATGGTTGCCTGTAATAGATATGGCAGTGAAGACATGACTGCATTCTGTAATTATAAAATATAACAAATATATAGTTAATTGTTTTTAAATCTCAATTTACATTTAGTATACTAATCATACATTTTTGATGTCAAGTCTTAAAACTTTTTCGAAATATGTGGGCAAAAGTGTCAGAATTGTAAGAAAACCCCAATTCTGTCCAAAATGTGTCACTATTAGAGCATAGACTGGAACCGATGTCCAAATATCTTTCCACGGGGTCACTTTCTCCTTCTACAATAAGTATAACAATTTCATAAACATTGTATTCAATATTATGCTTATTTGAAAATATTTAAAATCGAGAAACAAGTCAAAGACTACATACTGATTGTGATTTGTCTTGTGGTGGCATATCTGCTGTGATGTAATCGTACTCTTCTTGGGTTATAAACGGATGGGAATCAGGACTTTCGTGAACGAGAAGAGCCCAGAGAGCAAACCAAACACAACCGGCTATTCCTAACACATAGAATATTGAAGGCCATCCCTCAAGAAAGGTTGTGTCGCACAGGACTCCGGCCAGAGGTAGTGTAATGACGGTGCCGATGGGGGATCCCGTGAATATAATAGTAGAGCCGCGACTTCTCTCCATTTTAGGCATCCATCGCGATATCATGGCATTCATACAGGGAAACAGTGCCCCCAACGCCAATCCCTGTCCAATACGCGTAGCTATAAAGGCTATGTAACTGACGCGTGCGGCCACAGGACCTATAAGTGAGAGGAGTGCCGCTATGAATATACTTCCGCCAAAAATCCATTTCCCGCCGTATTTTTCTGCCAGATTTCCGGCGGGCAGTTGTGTCACAATATAGCCGTAGAAGAAAGCGCCTAAAATCAGTGCCTGAGTGTCATCATCCCAATCGGAGAATTCACCCGATTTTACACGACTCCGCGAATTGGCCGACGAGTTCGTCCAACACATGTCGGCCAGTCGTGTCGAGTTCTCACTCTCCTGTTGGCCCACCATTGAGACAATGGCCACACTTAACACCACTTTGTAAGCGTAGGCCAACACGAAGCCAAAGAAACTGAACAATACGAAGACAAAGCGGGCCGGGATGTGCCGGTACACCCAGTTTGACATCCGTTTCTCCGGTGGCATTGATGTTAAACTCTCAGAGCTTTTAAACATTTTATTTAATTATTATATTATATTACAATTGAATTAAATTCTAATTGTATACAAAAATAAAACAACTGTATGCACCATATAATGCTAGCATTAATTTATGACAGATTATATTGAATTGAGAGTTAATAGCAAGTGTTGAATATTTTAGGTATTATTAGTTAATGAATCATTAATAATGACTGGAATAAATGGCAAAATGAGAATTGTATGATTATTATTAATATTATTATTGCTGTTTTAGATACTGTAAAAGAGAATTAAAATCTTGTGAACAGCTTTTGATGATTTTGTTGCCTTTTATTTGAACTGATCAGAGTGCATTTAATCTTTTGACCACATGTGCAGTATAGAATTACAGTTAAAAGTACAGTACTGTAATACACTTGTTTGCACTTGCACATTAAATGTTCAATAATCTTTAATAGAAAACTCAAATATACTCAACACTTTATTATATTTATTTTTTGTCTATTTTACTAGATTTGAATATAATAATTTCACAAATTATATAATAAATATTTACCAAGTATGAACATTTTTGTGTAGACTCAGAACAAAATTAGATAAAAATGGCAGAAAAACTTATTACATATCTCACCATAATATGATTTGTGTTAAATTTCATGACTAGTTATGTTTATATAATAAGATAAAATATATAAATATTTAGACATATTCTCAAAGTAATGTCCTTAAAATTAATTTTATTGTTTAATTGTTATTATAACTAATTTAATTCACTATAAATTAGAGATCTGGTAATTGTTCAAATAATTCATAATTAAGTTTTGTTAAATTAAACTAATTTACCTCATATTATTATTTAATTAAATATAAATTATAAAATTATATTGATATTAATATTTTGTAATAATCAACCCTAACATTGAATTTGTGCAAAATATCAAATATTTATAAATAATGAATTTTTTGACAAAAATATTATTGATAGATAACGAGGAATAATTTTTAAATAAGTCATTGTTTATTACGTATAAATATGTTTAAATAATAAATTTAAAACTAATTTACTAGTATTATATAAATAATTTTTTATAACATTTTATCAATGATTTACATAGCATTTAATGACTTGTCAATATTTCTAATTATTAAATAATAATCAATAATTATTTTTTACTTAATAATAAATTATATACAATAACATTTTAAATAAGTATATGACAGGAAAAGACATTTTTATATTAAAGTAGTAAATCACAAGTTCTCAAACAAGTACATAAATATTGATAAGTAAATTGTGTCGATGAATATATTGATAAATTAAACATTATTTACAAGAAAGTGTTTTTCGACCTAAAAATATCAAAAATATAAATGATATTTATTTTTTAATAGTGCGCCATTGAAATATATTTAAAAATTACAAAAATACAGATATTAATATTAATTAAGATTTTGTATATTTTTTGAGTTAAGTAAGTAAAAATTAATAGAATAATAAACATGGCTTAATTAATAAGTCAATTGTCTTAAGAAAACTGTAATATAAAAATATTTTTATTAATTCAAACTATATTTGAATTTGAAATTTTGAAATTTACTTAATTCTATAGTTTTAAATTAATAATAAATGCCGGAATACATTTTATTTTCAAAACAAAAATTTTGAATTTAGGCACACTAAATCATGAGACTAATTGCCATGTGCAAATTGTTATAAGGATTAAGGATACAAATTGATAAGAATTATTAACAATTCCCAAGAAATATATATTTCTAATGGAAATTTTCTTGGAGATATATCCTTTGACGTAAATTAGTATTTTGTTTAATGTTGATCTTACCAACTTGGTTATTGTGTTTTGAGTCCTACTTATTACCGTATACCTAATACATTATTTGATTTGATATCAATGCAAAACACTTATAATAAATAATATCAATTGATTCAATAACTTTTATATGAATAATTTTATTTCATATGTGGTGCTTGAATATTGAAAGTATATTCTTATGACTTATAAATAAGTTATCTATTGTGAAGTGGAATAAAGCAAATTACATATTATATATTGTATTTATACTTTAAATTAGAAGTTGTAAAATATATTTAATTTGTAACAAAGTAACTTTTGAAAGAGTTAAAAAAATATTTGACTAAATAAAAAATTCTTATATAAAACTATTGACACAGGTGTATAAAGCAATATATTAATTATTAAATTGATTAGAGCAAGATCATTGTATGAAATGAATTGATATGATATGAAGTAGAATAAAGCGATAAAACATATAAGGGTAACTTAGTACTCATTTGTAAAGTACATTCAAATTCCTATTGGGAACGTTAGGGTCTCATCAGTGGTGCAAACAAACCCACGCTTTGTTATATCAATCAATTGATACTTTAATATTGTATTGTATTATAGTATTGAACTAAATTAGTACTACTAATACTGAATCAGTGAAATGATTCCAGGATTATAGCGCAGACTATGGCAGGTATGAAAGGCTGTGAAAATAAAGATATTATTTTCTAGTCTATAAATACTAGAAATTTGGACTTATGAGTACAATTTAACTTTTTAAAAATCAAATCAATCGTTTGTTTTTATTAGATTAAATTATACATGTATATTGATTTGTAAAATTTAACTTAGAAAATATTAAGTACGGTATACCTAAAAAATTTATCACATTAGTTCAAATACTACACATTTAATCTAATAAAACGTATCGTACTTTATTACTTGGAAATGCTCTTCAACTCATAAATTAAAAAAGTTTATAAAATTTGAGCCGTTTTGACAGATTTGATACTATATACTAGTAATGAAACATCAATTAAATATTAATAAAAAATTTAACATAAAAGAGATGTAATAACATGTAAATAATTTTAATAAGTAAATGTTACAAATATAAATCCAAATAAGAATTTTAAGTATTCTTTATCAATATTATTATTATTTCTATAATATTAGTCTATTTATTAGTTCATTTATACGAGATATTTATATAAAAATTCAAAATTATTTATAGAGTATGAAGAAATCATTAAATTCAATAAAAGTAGAGTCATGTCATTATAATTCATAAAGTTTATTCTGTCATTGAATTCTAAATTAATTGATTCAAAAGTAAAAATAATATTTACCAAACAACAAATTGTATTCTTTGTAAATAAACAATTAGTACAAAACAAGTATATTTTTAAACTTATAAAACGGGAGATCCTCTCAATTATCTGAGGGTTTCATTTCCCACAGATTTTATCAAAATTATGCTCATTTTTAAAGTTTATTTAAAGTTGCAATCTCTTAGCATATCTCAAACAATGAGTCCTATTTTTACCATAAAATCTCACAGAAATGTGTTTTGCTTTTGAAGGGTCTGTCAGTAGATTTGAGGTATCGGTTTTGCACCTAATTATTATACCGTGTATTATATATATTTTGAAATATAGTTTTCAAGGATATATCGCCTAAAAATATATTTCAAAATATATCCCAAAACTAGTATCAATTTAAAACAATTTTAAATGAAGATATGCTTTCATCTAAAAGTCGCTCAATTGAAGGCCTTTAACACAAACTTCTATTTATGTCTCAGAAAAACATAAAAAAGAGTTGATTGACATTCAAGAGGAAAATTGTCTAAAAATAAATCCATAATTCATTCATCAAAGCAAACGAATCGGTGGTCATATCATTAATTAAACCAAATATTTATAAATGTTTCGATAAATGCAGCAAAATATGAAAACAATTTATTATAGGCTTATTAAATGCAATGATATTTACAGTTTGGTCACAACTCTTGAAGTATTTTGTGGATTCAAGTGCTTATGTATGGGTTCGTGGACTTCCTTCTGGGACTAAAACCTTTGTGCCGTTTGACTCGACATCTGATTTATGATTAGAGTATTTTGAGTGCAAACTAATAAACCATAGGATGATTGTTATGGTCATCAAGTGGTTCATTAATTTTAGTGATCACTAAAACAGCCGTAAAGCATGTTTGGAGTCATAGTTTTGTTGTGTTTCTTAATTTACATAAAAAGCAGTAATTTCTAAGACTTTATTCAGGTTTTTGTTGCAAACTTATAGTTTAATGACATAGTGACAGAGGCACTCAAATCTAGTTTTTAGGGTCAAAGTTTCAAATAACGAATAAGTTTTCCCGTACTTTCACTTCAAAGCTGTAATTTCCCATATTTTCAGTTCTTAAGCGCAAATCCCTTTATATGATCGATATGTTAATGAAATATTTTTTAATACAACGATTAAAATGAATTAATGGACATAATTATCTAAAAAATGATTTTAATCAAATTCACATCATAATTAATAAAACTGTATAATAATTTCCCTTGTTTCTCTTGATATAAAAAAACACTTATTTTAGTGGTTCAACATATTATTACACAAATATTGTTAATTTAGTCAAGTATAATTACTTACAGAATACAAAACGTATAAAATTAATTAAAAATTTTCATATCAGATGATGTCTTGAAACTTTCCACCATTTCGGGGGTTTTTATCGCCAAAACAAAAGTACAGAACTTTTAGGACTTATTAAACCCAATGACTTTATATTTGAAGCATTTGTGGCATCACTCGTATTGGCGACAAAATTCCCACTTTTCTTATAATACGAAGAACTGATTTGAAAGATATTATGGAAATAATTACAAAAATTACACCGAAATAAAAAGCATGCCCTATGTCTGCATTAGTTTCGATAGCTATATATGATTCATATCTGGTGTGAGAATTAACTATAATTTGTTGCTATAAATAAATTCCTAACTAAAGGATTATTGAAAAAATAATAAAAGCAAAGAACCGGTCATTAGTTCACTAACACGCGTATAAACAGTACTTTCTCTGAAAGAGTACAACAAAACTTCAAAATAATTAATGATCAAACATATTATACATTTATTATTGGAATTTATTTTAATTACATTTAAGCAAAAAATTGCTCAAATAAAGAGTCAT